TTTTTTTGCGTTAACTCGTGTGGCACCCATACATCGAGCTTCTTTTTGTATCTAGCCTTATTTAAATGGTTCCAAACGGTTTTTTGTGCAATGTTTAGCTCCTGTACATGACGGTCGGACTCGACGATTTCCATTATTTTATCGACATTTTCGACAATTGGCCTTCCAGAGAGTGGTGCATCTTTGACATCAAAATTATCGGAACGGAATCGACGAAACCAAAATTGAGTGATATTGACTGTTACAGTATCAGGACCATAAACACTATTCACATTTTCAGCCGCCTGGCTTACGTTTTCGCCTTTATCGAAGAAAAACTGTAAAATATGGCGTATTTTCTCTTTGTTGGTGTCCATCTTTGACACGCGCTCAAACAATACTGATTCAAGCAATCACAAAACTGTCTAAGAAGTTTTTTTAGTACAAAATCTTATCTTTCTAACGACATTTGGCGTAACCCGATCACTTATACAACGCGAGATACAGATTACTAAAGCCATCTATTGGAAAAATAATAGATTTCTTTTTACTACACCTAATATTTATGTTAATAATCATGAATTTTTATTAATTGGTAACGTCATTGTTCTTCAATTATCCCCGGGCTTTTCCATTGATAATCACGAAAATTTGCACAGGGCCGACGAACTTTAATAGTATCTCGTCGGTAATTTAAATAATATACAAAAAAATGTTTATTTTTGTATTATAAAAAGTAGAGTATATGGTTCGTCATATACGTATATGCTTAAAATTATGTTCGCATTATAAAACATATAAACTCATATTCTTAGTTTATTTTTGTCAATAAATGTGCTTTCAAATATACAGGTGGTTACAACCCATATAGCACAACAGCGCATAGAAAGCGTTTTTAAAGCGCTCTTCAAATTGCACTCCCCAAAACTGCTGTCATTTATGCACTTTTATTGCATGTGAATAACTCGACAGATTTCAAGTCAAACTGATTAAAAAATGATTATGAGCGTGAAAAGCGCTTTAAAAATGCTTGCACTTCAAAAGCAATTCAAAAGCGCTTTTTTTTAGCGCAGGAACATCGAAGTTTTGTACATATTTTATCTCGGGAAAAAATGTTTTATATAAAATTATATCATATTATTTTAAGTTATATTTTATACAATTATATATGCAATTTTTTCCGGGTATTTAAAAAAATTTTATTTGGTAATAAAATAATTATATTATAAAAAAAAAATTTATTCCAAATTTTCCAAAATAGCTAAATTTGTAAATGAGTTTCTCGGCTAGTTTTGGCAGTATAAATAATATATAATAATTATAAAATTAGTC